CACCTAAAAGTGAGAACAGACATTCTCATGGCACTGTTGTAGCTGGTATTGAAAGATATTTACATGACAGATATGCTAAATATTTGTATGTCCTTCATGCTTCAACTTGTAGGCTTTAAAGTTTTACATTTTTTTTTAGTGCAGTTATGTAAAAAAATAATTCTACATTTATAAATTGCATTTTCACAATAAAGAGATTGCTCTACGGTACTTGTATGAGGTGAATTGAAAAATACTATCGCTTTTGTTTATCTTTTTTACAGTGCAAATATGTGTAATAAAAATAATAATATAGAGTGAGCGCTAGACATTTTGTATTCTGTGTTGTAATTGAAATCAATATATTTGAAAATGAAGAAAAACATTCAAAATATTTATAATAAATTTAAATTGATATTCTGTTATTGTTTAACAGTGTGATTAAAACTGTAATTAATCACAGCATTTTTTTTTAGTCTTGAATTATTTTAAATAGTTTGACAGCCTCTCTCTCTCTCTTTTGTACAATTAGAGTTCATAAAGGACTATTAGTAACTTCTGCAATTATATGAACTAATTGTATAGTTTTAAACTTTTTGAGGCAGGGACTTTTGTGTTTGCATAGCACTAGCATATTGTGGTACTGTTGGAAACAGATAATTACTATTATGTATGCCTTTTTTACCGGTAGCACCCACAGTGTAGTAGGTGCTGTGTAAACATAAAGGCCTGATCCTACATTCCTTAGGTTATTAGCACTTTCCACATATAACTACTAATAAATAAAACTGGCTGGGAAATAAAATTTTTGATTCATGAAAAATTTCAGTATTTCAGAAAAAAAATAATGATGAATCAGATGAAAACATCAAATTTTTTCATGGGACTGAAATTCTGAAATATTTTGTTTCATAAACACCAAAATAAAATATGCTCCTCAGAATCCCATGTTCCATAGCAGCCTGCCTGGCAGGCTGGTGGAATGCCAAGTTTCCTGTGCTCCACAGACTCAACTGGCCAGTCAGACAGATGGCCTGCTAGGGAGTTGGCTGTCTGGAAAGCCAACCAGCCCAGCAAGCCAACCACCCAGGGAAATGGGCAGCCCTCCCACCTGCCTGTCATGTGGGAAGCTGAGGAGCCAGCCAGCTGGCGAGCTGTCTGACTGGAGCCAGGAAGCCCATCCACCCACAGGGTGGGTAGGCCAGAGAGCTAGTTAGTTGGGAAGCCAGCCAGCATGGAAAGGCAGCCAGTCTTTCCCAGTAGAGCTGGGTGCCTGGGGCGCTAGGGATCCGTGGGAAGCCAGCCTGCCAGTGGGACTGCCAGTGAGCCTCGGGAGCTGGGTGAGATAGTAGGAAGCCAGCCTGCCTGTGTGCCTAGTTTCCATCAAAAGTTTCAAGGGAAATGACATGATCCTGCAGAATATTTCAAGTCCATCAAATCAGCATTTTTTGATAGAAAACTGTTCAGTTGGAAATGTTTTGACCAGCTCTATTACTAAAGTTCTCTACGGTAGTTATGTGTATCAGAAACAGTGTTTTTCATCCAGGGTGGTGTGTTTTTTTATATATTTATTTTAAATATTTTTAGAATGAATTCTGGAAATGAATATAAAAAATCTTACACCTCTCTTTACGGGGCAACCGTTTTTTACAATTACAGGAGGAGGGATAGCTCAGTGGTTTGAGCATTGGCCTGCTAAACCCAGGGTTGTGAGTTCAATCCTTGAGGGGGCCACCTAGGGATCTGGGGCAAAATCAGTATTTGGTCCTGCTAGTGAAGGCAGGGGCTGGACTGAATGACCTTTCAAGGTCCCTTCCAATTCTAGGAGATAGGATATCTCCATTTCCCCCCCCAACCCCCCCCGCTGCACAGGTCAATATATCTAATGTGCTTTGCCTTTAAGAAATCACCAAGTTCTCAAGCCTGTCAAGCTCATGGATTCTCATTAGCTTCCGTAATCCTTACGGGAAAAGTACCATATTATTATTTTCTCTGGAATCCAGAATCTTTTATTTTTTTATTGTGTTCCTTATTTCTTAGATCAGTACTTTTTTTATTCCTAATTTCTCCTGAATGTTTTTCTTCTTTGCCAGAATAAATTTGTTGTATTAATTTTTTATTTAGTTATATATTTTGTAAAGACGGAACCAAAATATTTTAAAGTGTATTAAAAGTTTTATTTGATGTAGTGTTATTGCTCTAAAAGGTCGCCCTTCAGCAGTCCGTTTCTTTTCATCAAAGCAATTAAGCACATACTTAACTATTTTGGTATCTGATCCTGTGCTTTTAAGTCAATGGGAGCTTTACCATTGATTTCAGTGGCCACAAGATCAAGCCCTTGCTGAATAGGGATAGACTGGTGTATGTGCTTGTCAGAGCCTAATTTACTATATCACACTCAGATTAGAAATTGTTGTTCTTTATAACCAAAACTCAGATTGTATGTTCAGTAACTGCTATCTCTATAATCTCCTCATGATGCGCAGAAGTGCAGAATTTTAATTCATGCCTGCATGAATATCAATATAATTTGCCTTATTTTAACATTGAAAAAATAACAATAATTTTGAATTTTGAAAGATTCTCAGGCTGATGTATAGAGGAAAATCTAGCAATTTCAAGCAAATATTGGAATATGTATCAACTATACCTGACATATTTTTTTCTCCAACTCTTTTCAGAGCCAAATTTTGTGTCATCCTATGACATTGGAAACTTCACCTATTTCTTCTTCCGAGAGAATGCAGTAGAGCATGACTGTGGAAAAACAGTCTTTTCCCGGGCTGCTCGGGTCTGTAAAAATGATATTGGGGGCAGATTTTTGCTAGAGGACACCTGGACAACCTTTATGAAGGCTCGTCTAAACTGCTCTCGCCCTGGAGAAATTCCGTTTTACTACAATGAATTACAAAGCACTTTCTTCCTGCCAGAATTGGACTTAATCTATGGGATCTTTACAACTAATGTGTATGTAACTTACATAAAATTTGTTACTTTTTCTGTTATGTTCAGAGTCAAGTCTAAGGCGCTCAAGCTCCCTTCTGGTTCTACATGTGGAAGGGATATTATATAAACAGTTCATCTTGTACTGAAATATTTTGACGATCTGCTCTACTAGTTCAGACCAGTGGTCCACCTAGTCCAGTGTCCTGTCTCCAACAAATAATGGTTAACGCCAAATGATTCACTTAGAGGTTGCTGTAGGAAATGCAGAAGAAGGAAGGATGCTTACTCTTTCCTCCCAACAGTGCAGTCTTTGTCTTTATGACCTGTTTTGTCATCTTGCTCCTTTAAATGTCAACTTTATCCACTTTGTGGATCCCAGCAAGCGGAAAGGTCAAAAGGCAAGAAGCTCTTCTTAGTAGAGTAAAATGTGAAATGTATTTCAGGGGGAAACATTTTAATTATAATTGTCATAGAAGAACCAACAGGAGGGGGAAACTACTCCAGAAACCATAGGAGGTTGATCTCATGGAGTTGGAACCCCATTCTTCTCTCCAAGTGGAGGGGCCTGCAGTTTCATAAAGTGGTAAATTTGCATGGTCTGCAGGTTTTGAGAAGCTGTGAGGGAAGCAGAGAGTGGACCTGCTGGTCCTGGGTCATTCCTAAGGATGGCCCTGCTCTCTGAGGCTACTCTTTCCCCATTAAAGCAGACTTTATTTGAAGACTTGCTGCCACTAGCTAGTTTCTGCAGTGGCTGCCCATTATATTGTGTCCAAGGAGGATAGACGCTGCAGAGAGGAGTTAACTGGAGCTGGTCAGGAAATTTTTCACAGACATTTTTGTGGAAATTTTCCTACCAGCTCTAGATTTCCAGAAACTCCCCATGCTTTAATCCCTACATGCTTTCCTCCATAGAGCTCCATCCCTACAGTGCGATTGTGGAGAAGCTATGTGGTCTTCTAAGGAGGACAAGAAACATGCCCCTCTTCATCAGTGTAAATAGAGGGGACCATTAGGACCTACTGGGATGCACTTAGCACTCCACAATCTGGGCATTTCAATTACAGTGATTTTGATTTGGATTACCTGTAAAATTGCCACCTGTTGAATGAAAATGTTTCTCTTTGTAAAGATTAAGAATGACAGCACCATGCCCTCCCCACAATTCATGTAATGTGACCACTAAATCCAATGCCATGGCTGCTTCGTGAGCAGACTGTCTTTCAGACAATCAGAAGCTACGAGTTAGGTCCTTAATGGGCTCCAGGAGATCCAGAAATGATGAGTAGGTTGCCTGTTACAGTAAATCAGATGAGGTTTTAGCATACTTGAAGCTAATTGCCTGTGTACAAATGGATAATATGAAACTTACTTTCATCTACTAGTGTTTTTTTGTTTTTGTTTTGGGTTTTTTTGCAATAAGCTTAACAAGCATAAGTAGTCAAATTGCTTTTTGGCCATGGTTGTAAATCTGAACTGCTACACTATTTGTTCTGTTCTTGGCAGGTCTGATCCCTAGGGATTATTTTTTCTTCCTCATACATTTGAACAATAACAATTTGAAGCTTAAACAGTAGATTTGCTTTCTAAAGCCTTGTTTAAACAACAGAGTACGTTAGAAGAAATAAATGCTATGTGGATCACTTGTCAGCACTTTTACCCACAGTGGAAGTTTGTGTAACTGTCTGCCTGCTTCATTATCTATCCATTTATCTAACATTGTGAAAAAAGAACAAATCAGGAGTTTAATTCCATGAGTTATGTGTATTGTTAAAAGAGTAATTCCAAACCTTAATTCACTGTTAGTTGTTGGGCATTCAATTTATTTTGCTTCTGTTAAAAGCATTTTTATAAATATTTTAAAACCCCCAAATACTGCAGTTCTTTTTGGAGTTAGTTTTATTTATGTTTTTATGCGAACACAAAGTTGTAATTTGCAGCTGAGTCCCATTTTAGGCATTCTCACAGTTACCGTATACAGATCTATATTGTTTACACTATGAAGAATTAGCACACTGTTGTACTTTGTCTCATTTTCAACATGAAAATAAGGGAATGTTATAGCTGGGTTCGCCAGGGTTTAACTCTTTGAGTCAGTGAGTTTAAGCGTTCAGTTCAAGTTACCTCCTTATGGGCTTATTTTGCCAGCCAGTGGGCACTTGTTGGGCATAGTGATAGTATTGTGTGGAAGATGTGGGCTTGAGTGCAGATCTCCTGGTTTCTGATCCTGCAAGAACTTGGGAGTATTTCAAAGGGAACAGACTTAGTCCCTGTCACAATACAACTGGCTGATTAGAAAAGGAGAAATATTGACGGATAGTGAGATGCCCTTCTTATTTGGAAGAATGGTGGCTTTGATGCATGAAATGACATATGTAAAAGAACAGGATTGGGAGGCAGGAATTCCTTAGTTTCAGTCCAAGCTCCCTCAATATTCTGGACAAGCCACTTTACTCATTTTTAGTTTTCCCATCTAAAAAGTGGGGATGATGATACTTTCAGTGTGTGTCACACAGAGGTGTAGTAAGAATGGCTAGTTAGTGTTTATAAAGTGCTTTGAAGATGAAGAGCTTGATTGCAGTAGGATTTACTCTCCCACCCTCGGCTGCTAGGCCAGGATAGCTTTTAAGTCCAACCAGGATGCCCGTGTGTGCTGCTGTGAGCAGTTGAATCCTGGCCCTGACCACTTTCTGGCTGGCCCCACGCATGTTGTGAAGTACTAATGCAGAGTTAATAAGGGGAAATGTTACTTTTGCAGACAGTTAATTGATTCCTTGATGTCTTTATTTATCTTATGTTTTCACTTTGTTTTGCAGGAACAGCATAGCTGCCTCAGCAGTTTGTGTTTTCAACTTGAGTGCCATAACTCAGGCCTTCAACGGACCATTCAAATATCAGGAGAACTCCCGCTCTGCCTGGTTGCCTTACCCCAATCCCAACCCTAATTTCCAGGTACTTACACAGAAGGGGAGGGCACTAGTCCTCAACAGTCTTCTTTAAAATGTAGCACAGTTTAAAGGTATCCAAGTAAAGACTGTGAGACAAGTCATTGGAGTTCTGTATCTGGAGCCAGTCCAGTTACCGGGTAAACAAATCTATTTAGATGGATATCAGTGAAATGAGCTGCACTGTATAGAGATTGGTTCACATTACGAAACAGTATAATTGATAATAGGCACAATATATCCTTCTGTTACATTTTGCCCAAATTAGCCAAAGGAAGAAAAGACAACTTAAGGACAATATTGTGTAAAACTGGTGAGCTTTTAAAAACAGTATTTACTGGGACACTTTTTGTCAATATATGCTGGATAATTTTACATCCCCTGAAATATGACTTTTGTGAAATTTTGGGAGACTGAAAGTTATTCACAGGAGTAGGCAAAAAAATGGAATAAGGCACTTTTGTATAAACGTTTTCACCCCTAAATTTGAAAGAGAAGGATGAGCTCCTCCCCTGCTCAAAAATTTCTAGACCGTGTGGCCTTTGAGGGACGAATCCTCCACTTCCCAGATTCACAAAAAGTGTCTTTTCAGTTTTTCACAACATCCAGAACATCACATGGAATTCCATCCAAAATTTTACAGTTTTTAAAGTTTATTCTGTTTTATAAGAGTTTCATGAAAATAAGCAAATTTTGACACTCCCCCCCCCAAACATGTAACAAAGACACATACACACACACAGTTTTAATACCAAATCTGGGAGATAGGAATGTGATATTACTAGTACAATAAAAAGCCCTGATTCTGCCATTGCATCCAATGCATCTCCATGAAGTCACATTATCTTCAGTTAGGCTCTGTGTGGGCATAGGGGTCCACCCACCCAGACCAGATTGGATGCTCCAGGCCCAAGCTTGCATTGTATTATAGCTGTGCTTCTTGATACACGAAAAACTAAAGTTCCATCTGTCTCATCAAACTGTATGTACACAGTAGAGAGAGATTAGAGATCTAGCACACTGGCTAGGATGAACGCAAGGCTAATTTTATATTCCATTGACACAGATTCTCATCTCCTTGCTCACTGCTCTCTTGTGGGCACTTTAAATATTCACAGCTAATACCACATCCCCCTTTCTGAAAACAGAAGCATGATAAAACCTTTATATTAAACAAGTTTTAACAGGAATAAAATATCAAAACTAAACAAGAATTGACATCCCTATGAAGGACAGGGTAGACTGCCTGAACCTTCAGCCTTTTGGCAGAGATTTATTCTGCCCTTTTAAGATATTTGGCTACTAGTCCTCTGAGGCTAGGTCTACACTACCCGCCTGAATCGGCGGGTAGAAATCGACCTCTCGGGGATCGATTTATCGCGTCCCAACGGGACGCGACAATCGATCCCCGAATCGACGCTCTTACTCCACCAGCGGAGGTGGGAGTAAGCGCCGTCGACAGAAAGCCGCAGAAGTCGATTTTGCCGCCGTCCTCACAGCGGGGTAAGTCGGCTGCGATACGTCGAATTCAGCTACGCTATTCACGTAGCTGAATTTGCGTATCTTAAATCGACTCCCCCCTGTAGTGTAGATGTACCCTGACTTTCTTGATTTCTCAAGATCTTATGTAATCCTCAGGAAGACAGGAGGTCATCTTTCCCTAGCTGGATATCTCCTTGCAGGAAGAAGATCTGGAAGACACAGGTAGTGATCAGGCTGTATTGTACGTTCTCTTGGTGATGCAACAAGATGACACCGGTTCTGATGATGATTCCTGTTAGCACCCTAACAAAGTAGGATTGAGGTGTCCAGACACATGCCTGCATTGTCCCCCTTTCCTAAGAATCTTTCACCCAAATGTGATCTCGTAGTTTCTGTTCTCCCAAGGATTTGACTCTATGGTGCCTGTCAAAGTTCCTCTTCTGATGGGTATTATCTTGATCTTCCTTCTCCTGTAGTTTGAGAAGTCAGGCCAACAAGAATCTAGTTGGGAAGAGATGGTTGGGATAGTGGACTTCAATTTGCTACAGGTGTTGAGCCATATATGAACAAGACAAGATGAGAATCTGAGGATTTAGAAAGAAGTTGTTTTATTTTGTTTTTAATGTGTGTTCTGCTTCACCATTACTCTGAGGAGACTGTGGGCTAGATTGACATGAGTGAAAGCATAAATACCTGAAACCTCTTAAAGGTCTCCGAGTTAAAATGAGAACCATTGTCAGAGGTTACTTGCTCTGGAATCCTGAAAGATAGGTTTTATCCTCCCCACAACTGCACTTGATGTGTGTGATGTGGTATGCCAACCCTA